AGATAAACTTAAGATGGTTTTAAATATAAAACCCGACTATGAATACCGACCTATAAGTTTAAAATATTACATAATAAAATATAAGTTTAAAATATTTTTACACGTACTTTTTCACTAACAGGAAGTCCTCTGTCGACGAACTTGGAAAAATCTTTAATGAGAATATTCTTAATTAAATCTGAATCTTTTATAATAAGGATATATAGGTATTCTCCTAGCAAATACTCCAATCAAAGATTCATCTTTGTATTTGTTATATATATCCCTCAAGTAGTCACCAATGAATTTTTTATGGAAGATGACATCTTTAAAATTACCGAAACCCGGTATCGGTCGTGGGCTGCAAACGCCACGTGATTTCCAAAAGTCGTAGTTCGATGTCAACTAATAATAAACAGCGAGACGTGTAACAGCAATACCGTACGATATTTCAAAAGGTTCCATTATCCTGCGGCTGTTGATTAATTATTATCTCGAGCAACGTTAACTAAAAAAGAAAGAAAGTTTGTAACGTATATTAAATATTTAAAGCTCCTGGATCCTTGTTGATCATGTTGGAATTGTGACGTCAAAAGTGATTAGCATGCTTAGCATACACTGAAAATTCTTGCGTGCTATTTTTAGGTAAAAAGATATTTTGATGAAACATCACTTCAGATGATTTTAGCACATATTTAAACTATTCTGAAAAATTATCTTTCTCCCTTTATAATCAACAACTGAATACTTAAATTAATTTTATCGATATAATGGATTACATGCGAACGCAATGATAATGTAATTTTATGATAACATAATTGCAATAGAAAGAAATATTTTTATCGACTCTCAATATAAAGAATATAAATATGATGTTATTTAAATCGGCCAACAGAGCCAAAGCACGAAAAATTAATTATTCGGAACTGTATCTCTTGGTTTGAGATCACTAAGTTCCATATATAAATTAATCTCGAAACTCACATATAAATAGGCGCGAAAAATATAGGTCCGAAAAGTTGAAGCGGGAATCGAACCCGCGTCTTTCACTTTCCGGGCGACTGCTCTTACCAACTAAACTATTCAAACCCTTTCGATCCTATATTTTTCATTTGCCTTTTAGTAGATGTTAGTAAATAATGCTGTGATTAGGCCAAGGCGTGAATAAAATCAAAAAGAAATATTTTTATCGGCTCTTAATATAAAGAATATAAATATGATGTTATTTAAATCGGCCAACAGAGCCAAAGCACGAAAGAGCAGTCGCCCGGAAAGTGAAAGACGCGGGTTCGATTCCCGCTTCAGCGACTTTTCAGACCTATATTTTTCGCGCCTGTTTCTCTATATGTTAGTTTCGAGATTAATTTATATATGGAACTTTGTGATCTCAAACCAAGAGATACAGTTCCGAATAATTAATTTTTCGTGCTTTGGCTCTGTTGGCCGATTTAGAAAACATCATATTTATATTCTTTATATTGAGAGCCGATAAAAATATTTATTTCTGAAATAAATAGATGTTAACAGTTAGCAAGAATCTTAGTCACTACGCGTTAAGAAAATCGAGACAATACTAATGTGTCTTTCGCAATCTAAAACCTCATAACAAAGTTAAATAAAATAAATAGGTAAAAATAAAAATAATTTAAATAGCGTCAAGAACACGATCATACCTGTAAATCCCACTAAAATTCTCCGTATCTTTCTGTAAATTAATGCCTTTACGTTGTTTTTTTATATAAAACATTTCTGCAATTTCTCTTTTTCTTGTTTGTTTTTCTTGATGCAAGATCACCGGAGAATCCCAACGGAACTCATGATCGTTGCAAAGTCCGATGCAAACTAACGACTGAATGCAATGTAGTGTCTTTTTTGATATTATTTCTATGTTTTTTGATGCGCGTTTCTAAATGTCGTTTAGTCTGTCCAATATATAGATAGAATCACAATTCGCACATTCAATTTTATACACGACATCGGTCCTTTTTAAGTTGTCTATCATATCTTTTTATCAGTGTGTCTAATTTTTTGGAACGGTATATAATACATCAATTCCATTTTTATTAATGCAACGCGTAATATTCTCGCTCAAATCTCTAATGTAAAGCAACACCATACAATTTCGCGCATCAAATTTATTTCGGTTCAATGAGCTAAGATTACCGCCAAATTTAATCGCCCTACGTCTTTTGTTAATATTTTTGTTTATAACCGTTAAAGAGTAACAATTATTACGAAGAATTCTTCTGACTATATTAACATTTTCTTCGTGAAACATAGGGTCAGCGAGTAAAATAGCCCTATCCACTAGGCTTGTGATCACACTGAGTTTATATCTCATCGGATGATTCGATAGAAAATTTATATATCGACCTGAAAACGTAGGTTTACGTATAACATTCGTGTCTAAAAAAACTCAGAGAACAATTGTTCTCTAGTTTAGATGTAAATTTAAGTCGAGTGTGAAAACCATTGAAAATCCTAAGCATATCCTCCATTTTTCGTTTTGGAATAATTGAAAAAATATCATCGACGTACCTAAAATAACAAGAGGGTTCGAAATCCAATTGACGCAAACAATATGATTCCAAATTGTCCATAACCATGTCGGACAAAATATGATTATAAATTGTGTTCATTTTATAATACATTGGATGATTAGAGTGATAATGAATATATCTACCAGAACATGTGGATTTTCGAAACCAATTTATTATTAGTTTGCCATCGCATCTAATGACTGTAGTATTCAAAAAATTTGATTGCAAAATCAGATTCTAATTTAGATTATCAGGACACTGATAATCTAAACAATATTTATGACAAAATAATAATTAAATTAACAAAAAATAATAATCAGTGTCCTGATAATCTAATTTAGATTATCAGAACACTGATAATCTAATCAATATTTATGACAAAATAATAAAGGTCGCTTAGTCTGATCTTAACTTCTTTTGCGTAATGACGATGTGCTTTAACAGAAAAATAAAATTTTCTTTTCTACGATATTACTGTGCCGTATTTGACAACTAGCGGAATTCAAGTATATAGATAACAATTTTCTTGTTTTTAAAAATTTGTTTAAATTGTCATCTTGCTAAAAAAATTTTTAGAGACGATAATTTGTTGATTTCTGTAAATACTAATTGATTGCGCTAATTACTGTCTATATTGTTTGTGTAGTACACTTGAGAAGGACCAAAACCCATGGTCGAAACGTTGTGTGATTATTGATTAAATAAAGCATTGCCAGTGTGTGGTCAATTTATATAATAAATTCTTTCTTTGATTTCATCTACTGGCGACTATCATTAATTTCAAAATGTTTTATAAAATATTTAACATTTTATGTCGAAAAATTATTATCTTGAAGTCTTATAACTCAAAAAGTACTTAAGAGAAAAATATTTTATTATAGTATTTCCGAAAGCTTTCGAGCTACAAGAATATGCAATAAAAATATTAGGCGCCATTTAAGAAATTGAAGATGATCTTCATGTAATCTTCAAATAACTATCCAAGGTCAAATCTTTGTTACTATCTTACATATGTCCCTCTTGAAGCCATATACCATATATAACTATTTGTTTGAAAAATTTTTTTCCGAAACGCGATATGCTTAAGCTTATTTTTTAAAATGGGACACTCGCTTGTGTATACATATAAGATAACATGTTTTAATCAATCTTCTACAAGAATTGGAAAAAATATGAGAAAAAAATAGAATTAAAAATATTGGAAAAAGTGTAAGATTTAAATCAGATTGAAAAAAAGTCATTAGAATAATATTTTAAAAATTTAATAAATATGGAGAGATGCCTCACACAGACACATGCACACACAGATATATCGAGATCATTTTTATGATTAGTGAAAAGAATTCAATGAGAGAGGCTTGCAATATTATGACTTTCAATTTTGTTAATATAAAGAATGATAAAAGCTTACCCAGGTAGAACATAAAACTCATAATGACGTCATAATAACGTCATCATGATTTTATTCATCACTGAAAAGTTATTCAAACAAAAATGATTAAAAAATGATTTAAAGATGACAAAAATAATCATAGAATTTATGTCCAATTATCGCAATATATAACTTTCAAAAAAGTTATTTATACATATAATAATAGTAAGAATATATAATTGCTAATATGTATAATGCAAATAAATTTCATGTATCAATCAATTTTACATAATATTCTTCTTTTGGAGGTCATATTAAAGTCAATATGAAATCATAAATAAGTCACCAAAATGTAGCCAAAAATATATCAAATGAGATTATTATAATTTTTCCAAAATGACTTTTAAGTGACGTTATAATGATGTCATTATGAGTTTTATGTTCTACCTGGGTAATCATAACATATAACACACAATTTTATTTTTTAGTCTAGTAAGTATTTTAGAACAAAAAAAAAAGAGCGTAGAAAAATAAAAATATGACATCGGAAGATACGAAAATAATAAAAGAGACATATATCTGGTCTTTGCATATGCGCAGTAATGCCACACATAACAAATTCTGATATCACGATCATTTTACGGTTGTAGGTATTGACTATTAAAGGAAAAAAAGTAGTTTACGAGGTATTTTAAAAGTGTGCTAAAGCTATCTGAAGTGAAGTTTTATTGAAACATTTTTTCATTTTTTCAAAAATATGACATTTAAGAATTTTCAGCGTATGTTTTCTCATCTCTGACGTCAATCTAACATAGCCCGCCTTAGAACTCAAAAACCTTAAAATATCGCTCATTAGCTGCAATGCCAACTAGCGCAAAGAAATTTATGGACAACTACTCTGTGACTTTAGATAAATGATCAGACAGATGATTTTAATTTCTCGCCAATTGGCTATGGACTATGAATAATGCTAATAAGTGATAAGAAATTCTCATTGTCAGAAAAACTAACAAGATTTTCCGAATTTTTGATAGATTACAAGTAACTGTACATTCCACTTCTCTAAAGAATACAATTCATCCACACTATTTTTTTAACAAGACCAATATTCTTCGGCATAAACGAATAACGCTTAGTCGGCCTCTAAATTTAATGTAAGATTTTAATTTTTTCTTTTTTTCTGCATGTGCTCTTGATTCAAAAGTATGTATTGAACTCATTACATTTATTTTGATATTGCTATATTTGCTCTAGAACGTCAAATCGAAATCATCTGGAAGTTTAGAACGATATGTAACAAAATTATTACGTTGCTTGCAATAATTAGTGAAAAATTCAAGATTTTGGATTTCTTCATCCGTTGCTTTCGGCGGAAGTGATGGCGGCTTCGTCTTTACCGTGAGAGGTACTGAACGTCGACTTAATGGTCGTTTCTTTTTTGTAGGCGGTTCCATGATGCGTTTCAACGCATCTAATAGCCGGTGCATTAGCTGAAACTAATAGATGTACAAATTATAATTAATTCCACTAAAACCCAAAATCCTATATGTATTTAGTGTGAGGTCCTTTTGAACAAGTTAAAAAAATGAAATTTAATGATGCCATTTCCCGCTAATAAAAAAATACTTATTAATAATATTTTTTAATTTTTTCATGTTGTTGTAAAAGGATGAAACTAGCAACCATTATTCAATTTTTTATTAGAATTTTTTAACAGGCTCCGAAATGTGATCATCTAAAATCTAAAAATATGCGTTAAAAAGCTTGATTCTTTTAGAAACATTTCTTTTTTATAAAATCAATGGTTTTAATTAATATTTTTAAGAAAAAGAAATAAAATACTGAAATTTAAATTAAAATTTTAATTAAAAAAAAATTAAACAAAAATTTGTAAAATTAAACAAACATATCAGAACAAATGGAACAATAAAACAAAATTTGAGAAAAATCGAATTATAATAGAAATTATTTTTGAACAGAGAATTATTTCTTAAAATTGTTTGTCCTTATGTATGAATTATCTTATATAATAATATATAGAATAATTTCACAAAGTATTTTGTATATGTAATCTTTGTGTAATGTTATCATTACTTTAAGAAGGGAGCATAGAAGTTTATTAAAAAGTTGAAAATGTCGAATTGAGATTTAGTTTTAGAAGAGACAGAGGGATTTTAATAAAAATAATCTCAAAATACACAGATTTAATTAATTTCTTAGTTTTGTACATAAAATCTAGTGCCCTGTGCACAACACAAATCAGTTTCAATGAAGAATTCTTCTTTGAAACTGACGCATTAATATTCGCATAAAGCTTTTATTTGCCTATTTAATTTAAATATGCTTTTTATTATTAAAAAATGTTTAAAATTGCAAAGTTTATGCTTCACAGGTAAAAAAAGAGAATTTTGAATTTGCAGAATTCTACCTTTTTCGCAGCATTTTCCGCTTCCTTTATAGCTTTTGTTTCTTGTCTAAATCCTTCCTTTTCGCAAGCGCGGACAACTTCACGAGGTAAATTATCCAACTGATGATTAAGGTCTTCGTGGATTTTTTCGATCCATTTCATCATTGAAAAACTATCAAGATTTGCATCGTTCGGACCCACGCAACTCTCATAAGTATCCTCCACAAAAACACGAAGATAGAGCACTTCTTCAGAGCAGACGAGTCGTCGAAAAACATTTCGGAGAAGGTAATTGGCATGTTCTTCGAGCTTTGCAGCTCTATCCTCCGTTTTGTGAATGGAACTCTATTGAATACTTCGATTTATATAATTGTTAAATGATAGAAAGTTAATTTTGTTATAAGAAATTGAAAATTAAATGTTAAAGAGATTTAACATTTTTATATAAAATGATAAAATTTAAGAAAATTGTTGTTGTAAAATTTAGTTAAACAATTTTTTATGCATTTATTTAAGGAGATCTCTTAACTAAACTATATTATTGACAAAATACTATTTATACTTATTTCTAGCATTTCGTCGTATTGATTTAATAGAATTAAACATATTTTTCTATGATTGCAATACATACATTTATCCTAATCATCATAAAAAATTCTCTTTAATCCTTTAGAGAATGACAAAATAGTAACGCTTTCATTTTGAAATTAAAAATATCGATATGATGTTTTCTAAATCGGCCAACAGAGCCAAAGCACGAAAAATTAATTATTCGGAACTGTATCTCTTGGTTTGAGATCACAAAGTTCCATATATAAATTAATCTCGAAACTTACTATTTCTCCATATGTAAGTTTCGAGATTAATTTATATATGGAACTTTGTGATCTCAAATCAAGAGATACAGTTCCGAATAATTAATTTTTCGTGCTTTGGCTCTGTTGACCGATTTAGAAAACATCATATTTATATTCTTTATATTGAGAGCCGATAAAAATATTTATTTCTAAAAATATCGATATTCGGTAAGAGACTGATTAAAGAATAAATATTATTACTGATATTTTGAATTCTACATTTTCAATTATCCCATCAAACATATATTAGAAATTCATACATTGCACACATGGAATCACTTTTTGTTACGCGTCCAACAATATTAAGCTAATAATAAATATTATTATTATTATTATTATTTAATATTATTATTATTATTTTTATTATTATATGATTATTATTATTAATATTATTATTATTATTATTATTTGTTTTGAACATACGTACTGCTGTTTTTCGTTCTACTATACCTACAACGTAGCATATCCCAGACAGCACACAATATTTATGATAAAGATTCATAAATATTTATGAATATATATTTTTTTCAAATATTATATAAATATTTTAAAAATGTTTTATAAAAACCTTTATTTAACATATTATTACATATATTATTAAAATATAGATTAAATATTTTATATAATATTTATGGTATGTAAAGATAAATATTTATAGTAATTATTTTGTAAATATTTTTTAACTAAATTATTAGTTCTTTCATTTACTACTATGTGACGTATCTTTCTCGTATTAGATTTTCGTCGTGAGAATTATATAAGGCTGACAAAAACAGAAATTAATAAAATTAAAAATGTCATAAAATTATTTCTATTTTTGAGCTACATTCTGCAACAGAATGTCTTTTAACAAATAAATTTACGTATATATCGATGTGTACGTAAATTTATTTGTTAAACTACTCTGTTGCCTAAGTTAGATTTAGAGGATAACAGTGTTTTTCTCATTTACTTCAACCCCAGGAAACTTCTTTTATGGTCATACAATGTATACATTTTTTATACGAAGCACATATTATGTTGAGTTGACAGCTCGTTTGTAATTTGAGATGCCATTTTGAAATAAAAATAGATAAGGGAAACTGTAATTATTTCGTAATTATTTCTTGTTTTCCATGTACAATCGTTTTCCTGGAATCATTGATGTATGTATTGCAATCGTGGAGAAACATTTTTAATTATATTACATTATTAATACGACAAAAAAATTAGAAATACGAATATAATGTAATTTTGTCGGTAATATACAGACAGTTGAAATTTAGCAGTTGGATTTCCTTAAAATGTATTTTTTGTGAATTGAATTTCGATTGACATGTACTTCTAAATCATTGATAGTTGAAGTAATCTCATCGATCTCCTGCTTAATTTGGATTTCTGTTGCAGTGATAGTCATCGTCATGTCTGCCATTGGTGCAGCGAGCGATTCCAGATGAGTAAGAGCGTTTAGATTTTGCGTTTCCATCGCACGAAAAATACGGATTAAATCGTAAGGATCCTCGAAATAAAGCTCGGGAGACCCAGCATCAGAAACATCCTGTTCGAATAGTTCTAACCGAAAAAATAATTTATATTAATACTAAAGTTTTAATTACATTTCTTGTAATCATACTGAATTGTGTTAAAAAAAATAATAAATAAATAAAAATAAATAAATAAATAGTAAATAATTCTTTAAATAATTTTTTTTGTGTTATATAGAATCTTATAATTATTATACAATACTTAATAGTGTATTTTGGAAGATAAATGGAAAAATTCTAATACGAAATATTATAATTATAATAAAGTTTAAGTTACAAGTGACCAAAGTTTGCTATAACATTTTCACTATATGACTGTGTTTAATAAAAAATCTTAAATGCTTGGTTTTATTTCTTATATTTGGGGGATAAAGACATTAAATACTCTAATATACTTCGAAGTTACCTATTAATTCTTCCAATGAGGCGTCTTCAGGTGGTGTTTTGTATTTCTCAAATAAGTTCGTAGCGTCAATGGAAACAATGCTTCTTGCTGAATCAAACTGGGAAAGCCAGTCATGTTTGATTTTCCAAGAGATAGGTGATATCCAATAAAGAAAAATTTGACACATTTTTACTATTCTCCAATTTTCTTCCCAAAAATAAACATCCAGTCTGCGTTGACCGAATTGTTTCGAAAGTTCATTACTTTGAGTGCTGATTACTTCTGTCAGCTTCACTTCCTGATCTGCTTGTTTTAGCATATTCATACTTTTTTCGTGATCTTTTGATAGGAGTTTTTCAAAGCCACTTATGTATCGTTCACTATAATACTTTTGTACAATGATAAAATAAAACAAAATTTCTCATGTAATAATTATGTAATATATATATATATATATCCTATTGAATTTGAAGTTTGACTTAAAGATTTGACCCTATATATATATATATATATATATATATATATATATATATACAGGGTGTCCCATAATTCGCGAACCACCGCGAATGGGCAGATAGAGCGTGTTAAACTGAATAGAAAAGTCCTGTATCATTTTGCGATATTTGCAATAATTATTGAGTTATTTATTAAAATATCTAAACGAATAAGCGGCGTCATGCAGCGAGCGGCGACCAATGTAGTGGCGCCGAAAAGTAAGATGATACTTTTGATACTAAGCGGTACATGCACACCGAGTCCGGCCTACCGCTTTCTACCCGCTCATTCGTTTAGATATTTTAGTTAATAACTCAATAATTATTGCGAATATCGCAAAATGATACAGGACTTTTCTATTCAGTTTAACACGCTCTATCTGCCCATTTGCGGTGGTTCGCCAATTATGGGACACCCTGTATATATTGAATTTGAAGTTTGACTTAAAAATAATGCTATTCCATAATTTCATACAATAATTATTCTTATATTATAGTCATATACATATATATATATATATATATATATATACATATACATATATATATAATAAGGAATTTTTTATTTTATCTTTTATACCTGAATCTTTTGCAGTCGACGGGATTCTTCCTCGAATTGTTGATCGATGCGAATATAATCGTCCTTTTCTTGACCAATAAGATATTTCATTTTCAGTATCTCTCGTATATTTTGAATGTATGGTTTCGATAAAAACTTTTCTTGCACGGGTCTGCCGGATAATTCTGTAAAATATTGCGGATCTACATCCGTCATGGCAATTGTTTTGTCCGGATATTTCTTTTTGTTTATCTCAACGTTTATCTGTGTAAAATTTTTGAGAAATTATGACAATGCGTGACATGTGCATTAAAAATTGTTTTTTTTTTTTATTACTTTAGAATATTTAACATTCTATAACTATATAAATGATAATGATGAAAAAAAAGTACATAAGATACAGGATGATAATTCGGTAATTATGCCATAACATGTGCAAATAAAACAAGGTTAAACGGAGTAGGAAAATTTTCTACCGTTTTGTGATTCTTCGCAATAATTCACGAGAAATTAATTTAAAAAAAATAGAAAGAAGAATTAATAAATATTAATATTACACTTACTAGAACATTTCTCAGCTGTATTACTTTATCATTTAAGTTAATACAAATGAGTAAAAATTTAAAATTGTGTGTTCTTCAAATCTCTAGTTTTATTTTCACCATGCTCTAATACCTATATTATAATATCTATAATATTTATATGTCTGTAATATATGATATTTATATATCTATATGAAAGAGAAGTACATAATCCATCGTAAATTGTTATCGTTCTTAAAATAATTATGTAGATGATAAAATATCGTTCTAATAGTCTTTAATATTATATAAAGGAATACATAAACATAATTTGCGAAATAATCAACTTGACATGAGATGCATAATTTATTAGTATTAATTAAATTGTTGATATTACTCGTGAGAAACTTTGATATTATAAAACGTTTAACGAACAAAATATATAGTAAAATACAGACAAAAAATATAGACGAGTATAGAAGCACGGTTCTCGGTACCCCACGAGTCGCACAAGCTGGGGTACTTTGCTATAGTTTACGTCACGTATATTGTACTGAAATGCTATAGATAGTACAGTGAGAACATGCGTCTACATTCTTTGAAAATACTTTCATTTAATTAACTTTTCTACAATAAAGCTTATAAAAAGAGTTCATTTTACACAATAAAATTCAAAGCTATAACTCACATGTAATTTTTGCAGAATATCAGAAAATTGTAAAATTTTATGATTTTGTTGATCTTTAAAGATTCTTTTGCGACGTTCTTGTAATTTTTTTTTCTTTTGTGCCTTCCACCATTGAAGATGAGCTAAAGTTTGGGAACAGGGTGGATACATAAAAGGCGACTGTTCGTGTTTTTCGGTCGTTTCGTGATCACTAACCCAATGATGTTGCATTCTAGAATATAGTTCTTACTATATATATACATATATATATATACAGGGGGTAGACAAAATAATGTGAACACCTGTGAAAGAGAGGTATTTATATATGTACATTAATTAAATGTTGGGCCATCATTTGCCCCTTTTCCAGTGTTGGGCCACCATTTGCCCCCTTTCCAATGTTATCTCATTCTTCCATCCGCCAATTGCCTTAGAGATAGATGTTGAAGGAGGAAATCCGCTTCTCAATCTTCTTCAAAACTGCCCACAGTTCGATGATATTAAGCCATTAAAATGCCCAAACACTCTCCCTGGCCAGCATAATTACTAAACCCAATTATCATCGAACCACTATAGGCAGTTTTGGAGAAGAGATTGAAAAAACGTTTAATTGGCTCATGATATTCAAATTTGGTAATTGTGCTGGCCAGCAAAAATATTTAAACATCTTAATAGCTTAATATCATCGGACAGTAGGCAATTTTGAAAAAGTGAGAAACATATTTCCTCCTTCAACAAAGCAATTAGCAGATACAAGAATGAGACAACATTCCAATTAGAAAAAAAGCAAATGGTAGCCCATCTTATTAACAAACAAATATAAATACCTCTCTTTCACAGGTGTTCACATTATTTTGTCTACCCCCTGTATATACCTAGCAAACACAATATATAAATGTTATATACTCAAGCATGTTACATGTAACGTATATGTTAGTTGTAATTTCCCACATAGATGTAACATTTTTAATATTACAGATATTACATTGTAGTTATATTGTCATTATATCCCAAGATAGTACTGACTTATCAATACATCAATGTGCTATTTGGTATATAATTACAATATAACTACAATGTAATATATGTTATATTAAAATGTTACATCTATGAGTGGGAAATTACAACTAACATGGATGTTACATGTAACGTACACGTTATATTACCTGTTATATTCCGTTTTATTATAGCAATGTAACAATTATATATCGGTGTTTGCTGGGTATATATATATATATATATATATATACATATATGAAAAATTTTTCATACAATAACAAAATTCTCTATTTTTTTGTGCTTTAAAGTACTTGACTATATGTCTGTTTTATTTTAAACAATTTTGTTTAAAGCATAAAAATGCAAATAAAAAAAATTAAAATTAATTTATAAGCCCATAGAAAATACCTGTAATAATAAGTGTTGTCAAAAGTCGATCGATTTCGAGGCATTATATATGATTTCTTATACATCGCTGATGTGCGAATATTGCGATTGAATCCACATATTTTGGAACTCATCTTTTGCGTCCTCTTTTATCAATTAGAATCTGAAGCATTTGTGTAAACTTACGGTAACTAGGTAAAATCTGCTGAAAGCTCCATTTTGTTTGACATGCGCTTTGTGTTCTTAATGTATATGTATAGAGTGTCTAGATCCGCTAGAATTAACAAATCATCTGTTAATGACAGATTCCTGCAGTCATTTGGAGATGATTTTTTCTCAGCGAATGTCCAGACACCAATAATTTATAGTTATAAGCGATTGCGAAAATAAAGGATTTTTCGCAAATTAATATGCCTTGTGGAAATAAAATATTAACAAAACTACATTCAATGTTTACTTTAATAGAATTTTAATAAGACTTAGAAAGATATATACATGATGGCAAAAATTGGGAACATACAAAAAATGATGGCTTCCTTCGACATTTTCGCTGAAAAATCGTATTCAACTAATCCCAGAAATCTGTCATTAACAGGTGATTCGTTAATTCTAGAGCATCCTTTATATTCAATGAGCTTTCAACATATAGCTCCACAATTTGTAACTAATTTATAATTTTTTAATATATCTAATCTTAATTTTTATTATGAAAAAGTTATGAAAAAATTATAACAAAAATATAAAATAAGAAAAGTATATTAGGCATTTTTATGCATAGTATATTTAATTTTATACATTTAACACATACACACATACATACATCACATATTACAATATTATGTAATATCTATAATAATCTTGCTAGAAAGTATACATAATTACAAATAAATCAAACATTATTTTACAAATTTTTGTACACAATGGATAAAAATAATTTGCAAGAATAATTTATGTTAAAACGAATTTAAGCAAAGAAAGAACTCTAACAGCATACATATCCCAAAGACGTTCAGAGAACATTCTGAGGATGTTCGAATGTCCTCTGGATATCCTCTGAATATCTTTCGGATATGTTGTGCTATTAAGGAAAGAGAGGAAGAGAAAAGATTATTATAAAAATTAAAAAATAAACTAAATAAAAATATTGTAAGTAAAATAGAAAATTATTTAAATTGTATAATTTGAAGAGTTTTTAAGTATACCAAATTAAGGGGATCCTAAACGGTTGGAACTTTGACGGATGCTTTGAGAAGTTTTGTTTTTTTCCTTTTTTATCGAAATATGAGATTAAATAAAACTATAAATCTATTTATAAATAAAATCTATTTATAAATCTATTTATTTATTCTTTTAAGATTACAGAATTATGAATTCTTTAAAGAATTCATAATTCTGTAATCAATATTCAAATTCTGTAAGAAATATATGAGACTATACAGATTGATAAATTTTTTTCCTGTACAAATTAAAGTATTAATATTAACAAGGGCGAAGCGTTCTAATTTCAGGTTAAAAACAATCCGTATAGCATTTATAGTTTATCTAACCTCACCCAGACAGCACAGAATATTTATAAAATATTTATAGAATATTTATATAATAATTATTTTAATATTTTAGAAATACATATCATAAATATTTTATAATTGTTTTTGGAGTCTTAGATTCAATAGAGCATAAATATTTATCATAAATATCAGAAATTACTTACGATAAATATTATATAGATGGTAAATATTATAAATTTATATTTATTAAATCATTATGATACAGATTTTTAAAAATTTATATTTTCTTTAATAAATACTCAGTGAGAAATCATAAGTTAAAAATACATAATCAACGATTTGTTAATTAAAACGATCGGTTGATATAGTCTAATCTAAAATTTGGTCGATTATTAGATGTTTTTGTGTTTCTCAAACTCTATTAGCCGTTTATAAAAAGTTGAAAATGTGAAAAAATGTTTATAAGTAACTTATTAGACGCATTTCTTTTAAAATAGAATATAAAATTATAATACACTGAATATACTTAGGCAACTGAGTAGTTTAACAAATAAATTTACGTACAAATCGATATATACGTAAAATTTATTTGTTAAAAGACATTCTGTTGCAGAATGTAGTTTAAAAATAGAAATATATAATTCTATGACATTTTTAATTTTATTCATTTTCGTTTTTGCCAGCCTTATATAATTCTCACGAGGAAAATCAAATACGAGAAAGATACGTCACATAGCGATACATGAAAGAATTAACAATTTAAATTTAAGTTAAAAAATATTTACAAAATAATTACTATAAATATTTATCTTTACATTCCATAATATGAAATATGTAATCTATGTTTTATATGAAATATGTAATCTATGTTTTAATAATATGTTAAATAAAGGTTTTTATAAAACATTTTTAAAATATTTAATCATAAATATTGTGTGCTGTCTAGGCATTTTGTCGATAAAAAAGAAAAAAAACAAAAGGCTTCTCAAAGCATCCGTCGGAGTTTGGTTAACCGTTTAGGATCCCCTTATATTTAAATAATTTGTGCAATGACAAAGAAAGAATGAAAAGTGATGTAGTTTTTATATTTTATTATTTTTAATATTGATTTTTAACATAAAAGTTTAATACAAACAAGTGACAAAGTGTCATCGACACAACGGTGTTCTTTTTTTCTCTCTTTTTTAATATTTAACTGTACACTTGAAAAGAGCCAAAATTATTGTCAAAACGTTGTGTAAGATTTATTATATAAATCAATGTAAATAGCCAGCATTGGTCGTAAAATATTTATTCTTTTAATTTTTGGACTGATAATATTAAAGAGAATCTTTAATCATTATTTTAATATAAAATTATATGAAAAATATACACAATCTTGCGTTAGAATAGTCTATTGTTTTTTATCTGTATATCTACCCATAACTGATAGTGTAACCCATAGACAACATCAGCGTCTCTTTAATCGCCGGATGCAATTGATATTCGATATATCTAGTCAATACTTGACTAGCACCCTGCAAAAATACATCTTCCATTTCTCTCGTAATATATTCCTTTGACTGCCAATTCCTGTTCGGATCTTCCGAATCGATAGAATCGAATACATTATCGAAATCTTTGTTGTCCACTACCAATTCCCTTACCTCGCGAGATATATTTTGCGATGGATCTTTGTTTTCAAAGCTGTCGGTTAAATTAAGAATTTTGGTGAAGTTGACGAACTTTTCCGTCTGTTCCTGATCGTTCTCCGTGAGATCTTGTGATGTCATAATTATTGCGGTGATCGGGTGTCGAACCGTCGAACGTCTTTGACGTAACGATGATTTGGTGATCCAAGAATTCTTCTTCCATACGCCGAAATTTGCCTGAAGAGTATGCGAGTAACGCGGATGTCGACTCTCATTAGGTATAACGACGTCCGTTTCTTCAGCAATTCTTGCTAATTTTCTCGGTTCCGCCGCATCATATTTTTCATTTACGGACAACGGTAGCGGTGTCACCTATGACAAGTAAAAATAGATACAATACAAAGGGTTATCCATTTTAATTTATAAATCAAAATATCTTGGAAAAATATGTAGCTGCATGTGTCCAATTGTTTACTATTTTTTTATATCTGTGCATAAAAATATTAAGGTAAGATTATCGAAAATCAAATTTTTTACGAGATATTTTGTATTTTATATCAAAATATATGTCAGATTAAGATATAAAATATCTCGTAAACCGGTCAATTTTTGACTATTTTATCCTGTTAATTTTTTATGTATAATATTACAAGGAATACTACTTACATAAAACATTTAGAATAATTCCATTTAAAATAATCAAGCTAAAAACCTTAAAAACCACAACTTACAAACATTCTTATAACACTAACTTATGTCCCCCTTAAAATATTTGCAACTTTTATTTAAAATATTTTTCTGTGGAAACAATATTTTTAAATTAAGAGTTTAACTAGGCTCTGTAATATATAAATATAAATTTAACATATATAAGATAGGCAATAAGAGCCAAATCGCGGATGACAGTGCGTTATTCTAAACGAAACTAAATTTTTTCGTTAGAATTAATACCTGTGCACAAGGCACCAAATTTTTACTTGGACACGGCCAAGATATAAAATTGGAATAATCTCTACAAGAGATTTTTAATTCCATGTATCCCCTATTCCCCCTAAAGAAATAAAGTGCGAGAGAAAAATATAGATCCGAAAGTCGCAGAATCGGGAATCGAACCCGAGACCTTTCGCTTGCCGGGCGACTGCTCTTCCAACTGAGCTATTCAGATTCTTTCGATTCTATACTTTTCTCTGTTATATATATTAATGTTGGTAAATAAACGCCTTTAAGCCAGCGTGTATAAATTAAGAGTTTAACTAGGCTCTGTAATATATAAATATAAATTTAACATATATAAGATAGGCAATAAGAGCCAAATCGCGGATGACAGTGCGTTATTCTAAACGAAACTAAATTTTTTCGTTAGAATTAATACCTGTGCACAAGGCACCAAATTTTTACTTGGACACGGCCAAGATATAAAATTGGAATAATCTCTACAAGAGATTTTTAATTCCATGTATCCCCTATTCCCCCTAAAGAAATAAAGTGCGAGAGAAAAATATAGATCCGAAAGTCGCAGAATCGGGAATCGAACCCGAGACCTTTCGCTTGCCGGGCGACTGCTCTTCCAACTGAGCTATTCAGATTCTTTCGATTCTATACTTTTCTCTGTTATATATATTAATGTTGGTAAATAAACGCCTTTAAGCCAGCGTGTATAAATTAAGAGTTTAACTAGGCTCTGTAATATATAAATATAAATTTAACATATATAAGATAGGCAATAAGAGCCAAATCGCGGATGACAGTGCGTTATTCTAAACGAAACTAAATTTTTTCGTTAGAATTAATACCTGTGCACAAGGCACCAAATTTTTACTTGGACACGGCCAAGATATAAAATTGGAATAATCTCTACAAGAGATTTTTAATTCCATGTATCCCCTATTCCCCCTAAAGAAATAAAGTGCGAGAGAAAAATATAGATCCGAAAGTCGCAGAATCGGGAATCGAACCCGAGACCTTTCGCTTGCCGGGCGACTGCTCTTCCAACTGAGCTATTCAGATTCTTTCGATTCTATACTTTTCTCTGTTATATATATTAATGTTGGTAAATAAACGCCTTTAAGCCAGCGTGTATAAATTAAGAGTTTAACTAGGCTCTGTAATATATAAATATAAATTTAACATATATAAGATAGGCAATAAGAGCCAAATCGCGGATGACAGTGCGTTATTCTAAACGAAACTAAATTTTTTCGTTAGAATTAATACCTGTGCACAAGGCACCAAATTTTTACTTGGACACGGCCAAGATATAAAATTGGAATAATCTCTACAAGAGATTTTTAATTCCATGTATCCCCTATTCCCCCTAAAGAAATAAAGTGCGAGAGAAAAATATAGATCCGAAAGTCGCAGAATCGGGAATCGAACCCGAGACCTTTCGCTTGCCGGGCGACTGCTCTTCCAACTGAGCTATTCAGATTCTTTCGATTCTATACTTTTCTCTGTTATATATATTAATGTTGTTATATATATTAATGTTCCAAGTAAAAATTTGGTGCCTTGTGCACAGGTATTAATTCTAACGAAAAAATTTAGTTTCGTTTAGAATAACGCACTGTCATCCGCGATTTGGCTCTTATTGCCTATCTTATATATGTTAAATTTATATTTATATATTACAGAGCCTAGTTAAACTCTTAATTTATACACGCTGGCTTAAAGGCGTTTATTTACCAACATTAATATATATAACAGAGAAAAGTATAGAATCGAAAGAATCTGAATAGCTCAGTTGGAAGAGCAGTCGCCCGGCAAGCGAAAGGTCTCGGGTTCGATTCCCGATTCTGCGACTTTCGGATCTATATTTTTCTCTCGCACTTTATTTCTTTAGGGGGAATAGGGGATACATGGAATTAAAAATCTCTTGTAGAGATTATTCCAATTTTATATCTTGGCCGTGTCCAAGTAAAAATTTGGTGCCTTGTGCACAGGTATTAATTCTAACGAAAAAATTTAGTTTCGTTTAGAATAACGCACTGTCATCCGCGATTTGGCTCTTATTGCCTATCTTATATATGTTAAATTAATATTTTTAAAGATTAAAATTTGTAACACTTTATTTTAAACACTCATTATAATTATATATTATATATATATTATATAGAGTGTACAAAAAACTACATTAAAAAAAGTTTCATACAAAAGTTATAGGCTTTAAAAAGTTATATTTATTAGGCTTATCAGCTTGACCTTGGGGAACGTTTTTCAAGGTCATTTTAAGGTCAACTTGATTTTTTTAAATGGAACTACCATAAGTGTTTTTACCATAAAAAAATTATAAAGGAAAAATAATCAAAAATTGACCAAATAATAAAAATAGAAATAATAGAAAGAAAATAATAAGAATAGAAAGAATGGGAAGAATATATTATATAAATAAATTCCTTGTAACACTTTGCATAAAAAAATTATAAAGGAAAAATAATAAAAAATTGAACAAATAATAAGAATAGAAATAAGGCTCCATATGTTAAATACAAATTCGAAATAAACGGCGTATATGAGCTAAACGAGGATGTTTGTGCGTTGAATAGCAAAAAATTAAAAGTAAAAAAATTAAAAACTTATTTTATAGCTTAAGAGTTTAACACGGCTCTGTAATATAAATATAAATTTAAAGTGTAAGACAGGCAATAAGAGCCAATCGCGGAAGACAGTGCGTTATCCTAACGATTATAGCGTTTGAACATAAATGTAAAATATACTCACCCTCAAGAAAAAGATACTAGTAAATATATTCAGCCTAATAGTCAATAAAGAATAACACACTATTATGGAGATCAAGACGAAAAATAAAAAGATATTGAACATTAATTATTACCGACCACCGAAATTAATACAAAAAACATGGACATATTAGTATATTTTACATTGCCAACAAGACAACTATAGCTTTAAGATAAAATTTATAGTCTGTTATTATATGTAATTGTATTGAATTTAGCGATTGAGAAGTTACAAGTAAGTGACGAAACGTCTTACATGACTTTATTGTAAAATTTATATTTAAATACAGTAATTATACATATTCAACCAAATTTGCTCGTGTAAAAGCCTTTTTCTATTGTATTAATTTTCATTTGATACGAGCTTGATTATCACATTGTTTTAATTAAAGCTTGAATATTTTTTTTAATAACACAAAATTGAATTATAAAAAAGTTATACAAAATGGCAGACATTGAAGATAGTTAAAATATGGGGAAAAATGTCTTTTTTTTGCATAGCTTAGGGGAATCGGCTATCCCAGGTACAAAAAAAATATTAGTTTTGGAGGAGGTCAGTCATTTTCTGAGAAATCCATATTTAAAAAATTTTTTACAATAATTTATTTTTAAATTGCAGATCTTAGAAAAAAAGATCAGTTTTGCAACATTTTTTTCAAAACGGTATATTATTTTTAAAAATCGTAAAAAAATTTTTATAACATTTTTTATAATTCAATTTTAGTCTTTTGTATTTTATTAAGGGGTTACATACACCTAGAGGACCGAAAAATTAACCCAACTTTGACATTCTATTCCGGCTAAATGAATAGTGGGAATCAAATAAGACTTTTTATGATTATAAGTTTATATTTTGACAATATAAAAAAAATAAATATAATTAAAAAATTGCAACAAAAACAAAATATGGTTGCTGGCGTTGGAAAAAAACGTGTTTTGCGATGGACACTCTCCCGCCTAAACAATCCATCTGAAACAAAAAACCATATGGTGTTTTTAAGTTAACAGTAATGGTTGGTCATTGACGTTCGCCAAGTTTTAATTTTTTTGTTTGTTATAAAATGGCGACGTGTTAAAATAAAAATTTCAAAAATTGCGAAAAATTTTCGTCTTTTAACACGTCGCTATTTTATAACAAACGACAAAATCGAAATTCGGCAAACGTCAACGACCAATCACTACCGTTAACTTAAACACACCATATGGTTTTTTTGTTTTACATGAATCGTTTAGGCGGGAGAGCGTCCACCGCAAAACACGTTTTTTTCCTACGCCAGCAACCATATTTTGTTTCTGTTGCAATTTTTTAATTATATTTATTTTTTTTATATTGTCAAAATATAAACTTATAATCATAAAAAGTCTTATTTAATTCCTACTATTCATTTAGCCAGAATAAAATGTCAAAGTTGGGTTAATTTTTCGGTTCTCTAGGTGTATGTAACCGCTTAAGAGAAATGTTTAAGTTTTAATTTAAGCTGGTTAGTTTATCTGAATATATGATAATTATTTACTGAGTTATCGCAATTCAAAGATGTTATAAAATGCTTTTTGGTGACACATTTTTTTGCAGGTGAGTATATTTTACATTTATGTTCAAAGACTATAATAGTATATAAATTTAAAGTGTAAGACAGGCAATAAGAGCCAATCGCGGAAGACAGTGCGTTATCCCAACGAAACTAAATTTTTTCGTTAGAATTAAATATCTGTGCACAAGGCACCAAATTTTACTTGGTCACGGCCAAGATTTTAAAATATGAAATAATCTCATATTTTTGAGATTTAATTTCAATAATCTTTTAACCTCCCTACGGAAATAAATAAATAAATAAATGCAAGAGAAAAATATAGATCCGAAAGTCGCTAAATCGGGAATCGAACCCGAGACCTTTCGCTTGCCGGGCGACTGCTCTTCCAACTGAGCTATTCAGATCCTTTCGATTCTATACTTTTCTCTGTTATATATATAATAATGTTAAACAAATCAAATATAGTAGGCCAACTGAACGAGCAAAAAATAAGATGTAAAAATTTTTTTATTAATAGTTAAATAATTAAATTATCATTCCGTTACAGAAACAATATAAATCGTAAACGTTTCGACTGCACTACAGTCTTTTTCAATACATAAAAGTTAAATATTAAAATACAAAGTTAAATGTTAAAAATACAAAGTTAGTTAAATATTAAAATATAAAATTAAAACGATTCTTCGCTGTTGACCAATAGATGTGCAAGACGATTGGTCTGAGATGCCAAGTTATGTGACATTTAATCATGCTGCGGATATATTACTCGAATTAAATCAATGTCAGATAAAATTAAAAAATCTTTCAACTTACATTATCGTTTTAACAAGTCCTTCTTCCTGATCTTTCAAGTGTGTGTTGCGAAGTCTGAATAACAAATGTCAAAGTAGAGAGCGTGATGTATTTATTTATTACCAATGTTTTTTCTAAACTATGATTCAGCAAATTTTTTAAGTATGTCAAAATAACTACTGTCTAACAATTCGGTGTCTTTATTTAAATTAATTCCATTTTTCTGTTCTTTAATGTGGATCATTTCAGATATTAGCCTTTTATGGTAATTCTTTTCATGATCCATAATTTTAGTGTTGTCCCAGTCAAATGTATGTTGTTCGTTTAGAATGTGTTCCGTGACAACCGAATGTTTCGCAGAGTCTAATTTAATATTATTTTTGTGTTCTTTAAGTCTCGTTCCTAACTGTCTTTTTGTCTGTCCGACATATGTGGCATCACAATCGTTGCAATTCAATCTATAAATAACATTAGAATTCGTGGGGCAATTATTTCTGTCCTTTTGAACTTTTATGAAGTCATTCAATTTTTTAATACAACGATATTCCACCACTACGTCAGGTCTTCTTATTGCTGAAGCAACTTTCTCAGATATTGATTCTATATATGGTATGACAAAATATTTCATGTTAGTATTAGTATTATTAGTATCTGTTATATTATTGTTATTAGACTTGTTGAATTTCTTAGTTGAGAGATTTTTCAATCTGCGTTTTGTTTCTGTGAAAATTAGATCAAGAGGATAACCGTTGGATAGCAAAATGTTAATAGCTTTCTCTATGTTTTACATTGGAAAAAGAGGATAATCGTTGTATAAGCTTTTTAGACATAATGATCAAAGTAATAGATAATAAAATTTATTTAGATTGATCACAAAAAGACATTCTCAGATAGATTACTTTCATTTTTTTCAAATCATCCGACTTGTCATAAAATAAGAACAATTTATAACTTGGTAGATAGAGCTATATTACTATCACATCCGCAATTTCACAAAAAAAACATAGAGAAAGCTATTAACATTTTGCTATCCAACACAAAAATAATATTAAATTAGACTCTGCGAAACATTCGGTTGTCACGGAACACATTCTAAACGAACAACATACATTTGACTGGGACAACACTAAAATTATGGATCATGAAAAGTATTACCATAAAAGGCTAATATCTGAAATGATCCACATTAAAGAACAGAAAAATGGAATTAATTTAAATAAAGACACCGAATTGTTAGACAGTAGTTATTTTGACATACTTAAAAAATTTGCTGAATCATAGTTTAGAAAAAACATTGGTAATAAATAAATACATCACGCTCTCTACTTTGACATTTGTTATTCAGACTTCGCAACACACACTTGAAAGATCGGGAAGAAGGACTTGTTAAAACGATAATGTAAGTTGAAAGATTTTTTAATTTTATCTGACATTGATTTAATTCGAGTAATATATCCGCAGCATGATTAAATGTCACATAACTTGGCATCTCAGACCAATCGTCTTGCACATCTATTGGTCAACAGCGAAGAATCGTTTTAATTTTATATTTTAATATTTAACTAACTTTGTATTTTTAACATTTAACTTTGTATTTTAATATTTAACTTTTATGTATTGAAAAAGACTGTAGTGCAGTCGAAACGTTTACGATTTATATTGTTTCTGTAACGGAATGATAATTTAATTATTTAACTATTAATAAAAAAATTTTTACATCTTATTTTTTGCTCGTTCAGTTGGCCTACTATATTTGATTTGTTTAATTTTGTTAATTTATACGAGCCTTTCATTAATTAATTATAATAATGTTGATAAACAAACGCCTTTCTTCCGCGATTAGCTCTTATTGCCTGTCTTACACTTTAAATTTATATTTATATTACAGAGCCGTGTTAAACTCTTAACTTATACATGCTGGCTTAAAGACGTTTGTTTATCAACATTATTATATATATAACAGAGACAAGTATAGAATCGAAATCTGAATAGCTCAGTTGGAAGAGCAGTAACCCGGCAAGCGAAAGGTCTCGGATTCGATTCCCGATTTAGCGACTTTCGGATCTATATTTTTCTCTTGCATTTATTTATTTATTTCCGTAGAGGGGTTAAAGGATTATTGAAATTAAATCTCAAAAATATGAGATTATTTCATATTTTAAAATCTTGGCCGTGACCAAGTAAAATTTGGTGCCTTGTGCACAGATATTTAATTCTAACGAAAAAATTTAGTTTCGTTGGGATAACACACTGTCTTCCGCGATTGGCTTTTATTGCCTGTCTTACACTATAAATTTATATTTATATTACAGAGCCTTGTTAACCTATAATAGTATATTGTGTATCAAGTGCGGAAAGTTGACAATTGGTCACGAGTGCGGGGGATGGACGCACGAGCCGAAGGCGAGTGCAAACACCCCACACGAGTGAACAATTGTCAATCTGCACGTGATACACATACTATTTTGTATTACAAGTGCAGGCAAAGTGGCTTTGTGCGCGTTTTCTGTGCGCGAGGTGGCCGATCGCACGCCGCCATCTTGCGGCGGCACGATGCGGGAATAGCCGTAGGCAATGGCTTTGAATGCGGCTTATTCACTCACCGCGTCGCCGCTAGATGGCGGCGTGGGAAATCGGCCGCTTCCCGCACAGAAAACACGCACACAAAGTGCCACTTTGCCTGCACGTGTAATACAAAATAAGTTTTTCAATTTTGTAAAAATAAAGGTGACATGTGGCCTCGCGTGAAAATTTTAAGTGACAGACTACTAGGTGAAAAATCCCAGATTTGAATCTAAACGTCCCATATGCTTCATAAGAAGTTCTTAAAAAAGAATTTATAAAAAGACGAGAAAAATGGAGGAAAAGAGAATGAGGAAGAGGAGAAAGAAGAGGGAAATGGGAGGTGGAGGAAAAAAGGATTATAATTATAAAATCGTTCAGGTGAAAAGAAGTTAAAAAGATATTATAAAAGATTGGGTGCTTTTTGCAAAAAAGCGCCTTTGTGACTCTAAGAAAATCAAATAAACGTTATTATAATTAATTTCGTAAAAATATTGTAAAAATAAATATAGTTACCTTGTCACTGCTTAAATGATTATACGATGGCCATTTATCTTGTCGTTTAATTTGTTTGTTGAGGCGCGTAGGATGGCAGCCGTATGCATAGATCGAGGCGAATTTAGGCTCCAAGAAACTGGACTCTGTACGTATACGCATTTGGCCATGTCCACGCGCGATTGGACTCGTAAGAAAGTCTATTCCCACTCGTCTCAATCGTAATGTCATTCTGCAAGATTCAGCGGAAAGAGGGACGTGATGATTTCGCGGCATTAGGGATACTATCGCAGACACTGACAGATCATTAAACACAACGCGTGTTTTCAGAGAACTGCTATCAGGCTCGTATACACATTGTTCAACTCGCGCCCAATTGCCTCCGGACTTTTTTGTGTTCTCCAAAAGCTGCAAAATAAAATCCAAATTACATGCTTAATATTATTCTGGGAATCTCCAATAACTCGTTTAAGAGTCTTGACGTGTTGTCAAACCGACACTATGTTCGTTTTTGACATCTTAGAATTATAATTTTATTTTTAATTTTACAAGTAAGTCTCGCTTCTTTTTCTTTTTATCATTTTGTAATATTATTAGTGAAGTAATTTTGTTTTTTTAATGTATTAATTTCTGTCTATGTATATCTAGATCACTTGATAAGGACTCAAAGAAGGGTCGAAACGTTGTGATTGAATAAATAATATTTGCCAGTACGGTCGAGAGAAGATTTTTACCTTTTTTAAATTCTGTCTGGCATTTCTCAAATATTTACGTTCTTAATATTATTATTCGTTCAATTTTATTTATTTTTTATAATACAGATCGCTTTCGCAATTTCTATACTCCGTTCAACGAGAGAACGTGCATCGGTTTGCGCATAGACGGGAAATAGAGATGAGAGATACTAACGGTGATCCAATATGTTTCGGGGACCTTATGCCATTTCAGAGGGCAAAAACGGATAAATTTTTGTCCAATGCACGTTTTGTCGTTGAACGGAGTATAGAGGAAATATATTACCTTTATAGTTACACGAGAAACGGACATTTCCAGGGGAACAGAACGAAGTTCCCGCTGATACAATGTTCCAGTCTTCTCTTCTTCGTCCAATTTGTTTCTTCTGGTAGAATCTCTATGAAGTGCGTCCAAAGCGCGCTCCAATCGTCCACTACATGCATCCCAATTGCTAATATCAGTATACACGAAACCAGTCGTCACGAGCATAAATAACCAAATTGTTAACTGTCTGAACTGCATCACCTATAATATAAATAAGCATGAAATTCTTTCTATTATACAGCATAAATGGAAATTTATTGAATCAAAGAAACTCGCATTAAGTGTCTTGTGCTAAATCACACTCAATAAGTGCTTCCATTTTGTGACACAAGTTGACACAAATCTGAAATTTATTTATTTTTAGCTACACTAGTTCAGAGTTCATCTTTTTTTTCAGTACGGAGTAAAAAAGATTTAGATTTGTGCCGATTTGTGTTCACTAAATGCATTCAATAACAATAATGCAAAAGCATTCAATAACAATGATGTGTGTCTAAAGTACTAAATTATCGGATCTTATTGTCAGTAGATAACTAACAAGAAAATATTGCAAACCAGAAAATTTTGGTTTTGATAAAACTTTATACACATATACGGGAAGTATTTAAATTCTTAGTTGACTCAAAAACGAATTTAAAGAATGAAACTATCTTGATATAGATAGAGCTGCCTTTTCTCAATATAATATTGAAAAATATTCGATATTTAGAAAACATTTTACGAAAGGTTTTCATGGTAAGAACATTTATATTTTTTCTATTTAACTATATTAAATAATATTTTGAGAAAATAATTTTTGAAAAAATTTTGTTTAATATTTCAAAAAATAATTTTGTTCTGAATTGTTTAAATGTGATTAATTAGAGGTATTTTTATAATGAGGATAATTTCGACAAGCGAACAAATATGTATATGGAATATTGTAATACAGTACCCTCCATAAGTTTGGAAACACCCTACATTTTACAGTTAAACAATCGTATGGCAGCGATCTGTTGATTTTATGTATCAATAAATCGTTAAATATTTAATTGACATTTTTATATATGACAGATCGCTGCCATGCGATTGTTTAATTGTAAAATGTAAAGTGTTTATGAAGGATAACTTGTGAAGGATACTTGCGAAGGATACTGTATGCAATAAATAACAAATATCCATTTATAAGACTGTTTTTTGTTATCACGATTAATAATATTTCAAATAATATACTGATAAAAAGCATCCATTAAGTTTATATTCTTGCATATTACGAATATCTAATTAAAGATCTATTTCTTTAGAGAATTTATCTTTTAAATTAAGAGGATTCTTTTGACAGATCTGTGCAGATTTTTGTATAAATAAATTATAAAATAAATAAATAATTAAATGACATTTTTATTTAGAACAGATCGCTGCCATGCAATTCTTTAACTGTAAAATGTAAGGTGCTTCCAAACTTATAGAGGGTAGTGTAAATATACAAAAATATTTCTATTGAGAAACGATGGAGTGACATTTCTCAAAACACGAATTTTAGTCGTGCTCAGTTCTTATATGCCGTCGAATTTATTTCAGATTCTACTAGTTTTAGCTTTAACGAACAATATTATGAACAAATCTTTGGCAGTCCCATGAGATCTCCTCTCTCACCCATCTTGGCAGACATGGTGATGGATGATCTTGAAACGCAGTGTTTGAGCCGACTTAGTTTTAATGTTCCGACTTATTATAGATATGTTGACGATATTTTCGCTATTATTCCAAAGACAAAAATCCATGAAATAATTGATACTTTTAATAACTATCACCACCGTTTAACTTTTACATTTGAGACGGAATCAGACGGATGTCTTAATTTTTTAAATACAACGATCTCTCGGTCAAGTGGAAAGCTTGTAACAAATTGGTACAGGAAGGAAACGTGTTCGAACAGATATATAAATTTCTTTTCCAATCATCCTTTTAAATATAAAATGAACACAATCTTTAATCTTGTAGATCACGCGATTCTTTTATCTAATGACCAGTTTCACGACGAGAATATTAATATCGTGAAACAGATTTTATTTAATAACTGCTTTCCTAAACATGTAATCGATCGTTGGGTTAAAAAAAGGATTAATTTTTTAAAACACAGAAACATGAATGAATCGAGTAATGAGCGAAATATTGTTGATAAGTCTCCTTTCATTTCACTACCTTATGTTAATAGTTTAGGCAATATCGATCGAATTTTTAAAAATATCGGATTTAATGTTGTTCATAATGTTCCTAAAAAGCCAAATCATTTGATCACACTCGGCAAGGATAGACTGCCTACAGATAAAAAAACTGAAGTGGTTTACAAAATTAATTGTAGGGATTGCAACGTGTCATACATCGGACAAACAAAAAGACATCTTTGTACACGTGTAAAGGAACATTTTAGCAACATCAAAATGCATTCGAGTAATTTATCAGTTATCAGCAAACATAAAATTGAATTCGATCACGATTTTGACTGGACTTCACCTGTTATCTTGCATAGTGAAAAACACGTAAGAAAAAGAGAAATCGCTGAAATGTTCTTTATTAAGGAAAATAATAACGCTATTAATTTACAAAAGGATACTGACAATCTAAGTAATATCTACGACAAAATAATAAAGGTCGTTTAGTCTCCAATAACTCGTCTAAGAGTCTTGACGTGTTGTCAAACCGACACTATGTTCGTTCTTGACATCTTAGAATTATAATTTTATTTTTAATTTTACAAGTAAGTCTCGCTTCTTTTTCTTTTTATAATTTTGTAATATTGTCAGTGAAGTAATTTTATTTTTTTTAATGTATTAATCTCGGTCTATGTATATCTAGATCACTTGATAAGGACTCAAAGAAGGGTCGAAACGTTGTGATTAAATAAATAATATTTGCCAGTACGGTTGAGAGAAGATTTTTACCTTTTTTAAAAATATTTTTGCTTTATTTCATCTTTTATAAATTTATATGAAAAAAGGAAAGGATTATTTGTGATTAAAATGACTGTCATTTTCGTGTTGTTGATGAACGCAATCATATGAACGAATAAATAAGAAGAAATATAACAGTTTTATAATAATTATATTCTATATATGTATAAAAAAAGATTACATAACATATAATATAAATAAAATGTATCATCATCTATCATATATACACACATACATACAAGTTCTTCTTATATTTCACAACAGTTATATTTTATGTTTGTTGGGACAATTACCAGTTAAATTCAACAAGTTAAATTCAGGGAAGGAATCTGCAATAATATGCAATGAGAAAAAAAATAAAGAAAAGGAAAAAAACAAGATTAATTGAAACAAAGTTTAATTAACAGCACGTAATAAAACTTGATATTTTAAGCGAGATATAAGCAATGAATATGAGATTTACGCGTTCACCTATCTCTCTCCCACCATTAAAGCATCTCTCAAAGCATATCCTGTAGAAACTCGGTGAACTCAAGTCGCCGAAACAGAGCATGAAAGCGTCTCCAGTCTGCCTATCACAAACGACAATTGGATTGTGAAACTAGGAAGTATGATCTTTTCGGATGGCTCATTAAGAATAATTGCAATATGCCGAAGTGATATCAATCTATATAAATATATGATAACATATTATTTCTAACACAATTAATTTTTTCAAAACAAAAAAGAAGAAAATAAAAAAAATAAAAAATTTTTCAAAATAAGATTTATTAATAAAACTATTTTTAATCTATATAATAAGGAGAAAATCTTTTTTTAATTAATATAAAATTTACATAATGAAATTAAGCTACACTAATTAAAAGTCAGCATAAAACGTAAAAATATTAAATGTGAATTAATAATATGTACTGTTTCCTGATTTCTAGTTGGCTAACGAATAAAACTGTCGCAATAATACAGACACAAAGCATATTGCACTCATCTTTTTTTACAACTTATACCGAAGACTCAAATTACGGGAGATTCCTCTGATATTGCTCGTGGCGAAATTGCATTGTTCGCAATTGTATGCTAATGCAGATTCTAAATTTCATTCTGCTACATTCTCATGCTTCATCAATCATCGCGTTCAAGAAAAAATATGAATATTTATTTATCGATTGATCTAATATTCGCTCAGGGAATTTTTTCTCTTTCTTATTTTATTATTGACTAAATATGCTGTATGAGAAACTTATATATACATATAAAGATATGGAATTATATCGATTAAACAATGACTTATAGTATATACCTAAATCAAGTATTCAAATAGATTTTCTATAGAAGTTGACAGAGAAACTGGATAAGAATAACAACATCCTTGAATATATTTCTTTTTGATTTAATTAATGCAATTATTTTAAAATGTCATAAACTTAAATAAAGAAATTAATTATTGCAGAAAAAGAAAGCAGAATAGAGAGGCTGTTATACAATTTTGTTGACGCTCTAGGAATTGAAAAACTGTTTAATGTACATATATATATATATATATATATATGGAATTAATTATATTTTATTAATATATGATATATTCTGTAAAATTTTTATAAATGTTTAAAAAATCTAGATTTTTGTAAAACGGCTGAATTTATTTAAAAATCGAGAAATGAAAAAAATATTTATATATTACGCGATGCGCATTATTTAAATTAATAAAAAGTTTGCATTGTCCAAATTTATCTCTTTTCTTTGTATATTTTGTTTATTACTTATTATAATTAGCATAGCGCGTATATTTACCCAGCTAACTATTTGCTTGAAAATTGTTAACAATCGGGAAACAAAAATACGACCAAATATGGCTGCAAATCCAGGGCCTACTGTGTCTTCGAGTGCGCCCCAATTGCAATCAAAAGTTGAAAGTATATCCTATCAAGTTGGGTGCAACGTCAGAGCAGATCTGTCACTAACAGTGCGACGACAGATTGGCAACAGACTGGGAACAGATTTGTCAATCGTAAACTGAGGACAGATTTGCGCCAAATGCTCAGCAAATCGAAGAAAAATCCCAGATCTGCAGGATCTGCTGCGTTTTTGGCATCAACACTTTCGACAGATCTGCTTGCTACTTATTGCCACTTTGTCAATATAATCTGCTAACAGATGTTGGGAAATATTTACTGAATTTATGCTCACAGTGTTTGCAATGACAAAATATGTTTCTTATCTGCGGCTTTTACAAACAAAAGTTGTTGCCTGCATTTGCCTCCGCAGAAATAGTTAGCTGGGTTATATGTATATACATATATAAAATAAAAAAGTGCAGATATAAGTATATATATATCTGTACTTTATTAAAATCTAAAATTTTTAGAATACAAAAAAAGGTTCAAGTCTAATGCAAAAGGAAAAAGAAGAAGAATACACTTACTTCGTGAAATATTCAAATTGACTTCGTTTTCCGATGACAACAGATATATCAGCTAGTGCTTGTTGTGGTAACGCACGCCAAATCGCTCGCACCTCTTCGCGCCGAGACATCGAAGAACAGTGTGCGATCGAAGAAAGTGCTGCTACTACTCGTGCGCCGCTCTCATCAGAGATACGCACCGCAGCGATTCGCATTAAAGTCTCTCATTCTCTTTCCTACTTACAAGTATTGCGTGCTACCATGCGGTAAGTGAGAGGTAAGAAGTGAGACAAAGCGAGACTAACCAGATAACACATAATATTTATAATAAAGATTCATAAATATTTATGAATATATATATTTTTCTAATATTATATAAATATTTTAAAAATGTTTTATAAAAACCTTTATTTAACATATTATTAAAACATAGATTTAATATTTTATATAATATTTATGGTATGTAAAGATAAATATTTATAGTAATTATTTTGTAAATATTTTTTAACTAAATTGTTAGTTCTTTCATTTATCTGTCTCGTATTTGATTTTTGTTGTGAGAATTATATAAGGCTGGCAAAAATGGAAATTAATCAAATTAAAAATGTCATAAAATTATTTCTATTTTTGAGTTACATTCTGCAACAGAATGTCTTTTAACAAATAAATTTACGTATATATCGATGTGTACGTAAATTTATTTGTTAAACTACGATTGCCTAAGTATATTTCAGTGTATATTATAATTATATATTCTATTTTAAAATAAACGTCTAAGAAGTTACTTATAAATATTTTTTATACATTTTTAACTTTTTATAAATGGTTAATAGAGTTTGGAAAACACAAAAACATTTAATCGACCAAATTTTAGATTAGACTATATCAACCGATCGTTTTGATTAAAAAAATCGTTGATTATATGTCTTTTTAACTCATGATTTCTTACTGAGTATTTATTTAAAGAAAATATAAATAAAAAAATCTGTATTATAATGATTTAATAAATATATTTATGATATTTACCATAATAATTATCGTAAATATTTTCTGATATTTATGATAAATATTTATAAAATATTAAAATAATTATAAATATTCTATGCATATTTTATAAATATTCTGTGCTATCTGGGTACTTTATACATGATGTACAAAAAAAGGTAACAAAAAGAACCTTCACTACCACATACGCAGAATTTTTACTTTCGATGGAATTGGATGTTTTTTTTCATGTGTTTGTAGCTTATGACTTGCGGAATAAAATGTAATAGCCTTAAAGCTAAATATTCGACAGTTACAAGTCACAGTCAACCAGCTCGCAAAGTCTTAATTTGTCATGTTTGACTGGCTGTAAATAATACCATCTATTATTTAGCTTTTAAGCTTATTATTATATTTTTTATTTAACATCATAAAAGTTACAACATGTGAAAAAATTATTAACTGATTTTAATATTCATCTAGAATTTTTTATACATTTTAAGTTCAAAAACTCCTAATAAAAATAAAATTGAATCTTGGTAAGATCAGCTAGTTTTCTCATATGTTATAACTTTTGATATGTTGAACAAAAAAAATGTAATTAAATAACTATCTAATATTTAACTTTGAGGTTATTATATCTTTTGTTCAGCAGAACATAAACTGTACAACGTATGAAAAAAACAGCCAATTCCATCAAAAGCTAAAATCCTATATATTTAATGCGAAGTCTTTTTAGGAGTACATGGTCTGAGTATAAAATTTTAGAACTACCTTTACTAAAAATAAAAAAGTCGTTATACTTTCAATATTGTTTTTATTTTGCAATAAATGAATCTGCTTCATAGTCAAATCAGTTTTCTTTTAATTTTAATTTAAGTTAACGGAAAAAACAGCCAGAATTAAATTAAGAAAATAAAGACGATGATAAAGCACACCTCTTTTTTTCAACTTCTTGCTCTTACGAAATCGAGCATGCCAATGAAAAACGTTTTCTGAACGACGTTGAATAATTTAGAAGAGCAACGCCAAACGCCCTTTTTAATTATATTTTATTTGTTTCTGTAGCAGTTTTATCCAATTTTACACAAAAAATTGATCGCGTATTGTTAATTGCTTAATAGACTTCCATGACAAGATAAAACAAATTATATACACGTCACACAAAACAGATTATTTGAACATGAACTGACCTGAATTAATTTGATAGAAATGTAGTTAAAGATTAGCACAAGAGATTTTAAGTGGCGAAAAATAAGTAACGCTGTTTGCGCACATTTTATTACAAATTTATAGTCCTAAAACTTTATAGCTAGATCGTGTATATAGTACTCAAGTACAAGTAATCCCAAAAACCATTTATTTCAGAATTACAAAGCATATTCTGTTATAGAACTCACATTTTTTGAATATACAATGTATGATATATTTACACGATTGTTGACAATGTCTATGGTTTTATTTTGTCTGAAGAATGGCTAATTTTTATTACAAATTCTAAAATAATAACAGACATTTATTTTATTTTTGACAGACTGTTTATGAGCGCGATAGTTATTGCGGTGCGAGAAATAGGGAAGACAAGTACTGATTTTTTTATAGACAACAAGCAACACAGTTTATTATATAAATCGAACACGAACACAATATGTACAAGATATTTAAGTTTCAGATGCTGAAATCAGCGCGAGCAGTTTATTGAAAAAACACGAGACGTAATTCCGTTTCAAAAGATTAGCAGTTTACAATTGGCGGTACCTTTGTGTGAGGCTGAAGCAACGAGACTGTCTTATTTGGTCGAGCGGAACGCTTTTTATTAGCGACCTAAAGAACTCTCCTAATTTTTTGACATTCAATGATTTTGGATGAATTTAAACATTTTGAGGTGACCCAAGAGCGCTGTTTTTAATTGGTAGCTGATAGTCTCTCATGTCAGAAATACGCTTCTGCCATGCGCAAAGTTTCAATCCGATCGAACCAATGGTTGATGGGCGTCCATTTTGCGCATTCGCGCATGCCTCATTAAATCATCGACGGTTTGCAACTTTTTTCAATATTTATTTTTATTGACTAGTTTTATTTGAAAAAAACAGTATGCACGCGATAGATTTATGGCCTTAGATTATATTTATATGTTTTTTCTATCGGTCTCTAATTGAAAAATCTCGAAATAAAGAGTTTTAAGCCGGTATTCATAGTCCGATCTTATATTTAAGATCGTCTTAATTAATGGTCGGAAGTTGACTTAAGACCCTGTTTAACCAATCAAATAGCTACGTAGCGTCCTAAGCTCGAACTTAAGACGATCTTAAATATAAGATCGAACTATAAATACCGGCCTTAATTTACATTACAAATGTTTTTAATTGCTATCTCAAACACAGACCAAATCGTTACAAAAGTAGTAAATCTGCTGTACATTAAAATATGTGATATAATAAAAGGCCAACTTAACGAGCTTATATGCTATTAATTGAAAAATTTATTTATTAATTTACGTCATACTATACAAAAGTTAAGATAAACGTTTCGACTGTACGACAGTCTTTCTCAATATCCTAATAATATGTTAAAAAATTAATTTAGTCATTTCGACATCATAAATAAATACAACAATTATAAGATTATATGACGAACGCAGTACAAAATTCATGTTTGTTGGCATGAGTTAGAGCGTCAGATGCTGTTATATTATGTAACGACACTGTGAACAAATTAATATATCCGCTCAAATATTACATTTAGATTTTTAATAAATAGTATTAACTTACTTTTTTGTCAACGAACATAACACTTTTTTTAAAAAATTATTTCTTTTTACTTAACATAATCACAATGTGTACTTTTTTAAAAAACAAATCGATATCTGTATCTTACAATGTCGGCGCGCTGTATATATACCCAATTTTTAAGATGACGTAGACAATTTTTTAGAATATCATAATAAGAACCGTCAAGACGCTCGGTGTCCTTTTTTAGGTTGATACTGTTGTTTTCTTCTTTAATATATATCATTTCTGTAGATTAAGTTTATTTAATAACAGAAAATACTTTTTATATAACTTTATATAAAACTCGGCAATAAATAGTTATTAAAATTATGCAATTATAAAATTTCTTTTATTATTTTAAAATGTCGTGCCATTTTTTTTGTACATCCTGTATAAACCTGCTGTATTATATGTATACTATATTGTACTATACTGTACTAAATATACTATTCTTAATTGATATAATATCTAGTATATACAGGGTGTCTGACATATTAGATGTCACATCGAAAATATACGAGTAGATCTCGTTATTTGGAGACCATTTTTCTCAGCAAAAATATTAAAGCATCAATAATTTTTTAGTTATAATTAAGCGATTGAAAATAAAGGATTTTTCACAAATTAAGCCTTGTGGAAATAAAATATTAACAAAATCACATTTTCCAATTAATTTTAAGTAGAGTTTACTTTAATAAAATTTTGATTTAAGATTTAGTTATAAAAACACATGCTGGCAAAAATTGAGAATATGCAAAAAATGATGTCTTCCTCAATATTTTTGCTGAGGAAAAATCGTTGGTCTTCAAATAACGAGATCTACTTGTATATTTTCGATGTGACACTTTATGTCAGACACTCTGTATATATAGTTCTTAATTAATATATATAGTATAGACATTAGATTATTAATTATTTATTGATTTTATATCGATTAATTACTTAAATAGAATCGATAGTTATTACAATAAAAAAATTATTTAAAAAATTCAAGATAATCCGGGTAGCAAGCGTATACGTCATTTTGACGTTCAATGACGTTAGTTTTGTTACTTGAGAATAAGTTATTATAACAAAAAATATTTAAAAAGCTAATTTAAAGCTATTTAAAAAGCTAAAGAGTGTATTTCTCGAGTATTTCTCGAAATCAAAAATTTTAAGGTATGGTTTGGAAGAAGGGAGAAGGAAAAGATTGAATGAATTATGAGACCCGAAAACAGGTCAACGACTGAAAGAAGCGATATTGTTTCAAACGTTCGTTTGGTGGAGGAGCTCTCTTCTTGATCAAAGAATTAAATTTCTGTGTTATCCGAGAAGAAGAGAGAAGAATAGGACTTTATGTCATTTTCAAGGTGAATATACCCAGGTAGAACATAAAACTCATAATAACATCATTATAACG